TTTTGTTGTAAAGACGACCTGCCCAGTGGGCCCAGGTGGTGGAGGGAAGCCACATGTGGCCTGTTGAATGCAGAAAGCTTAGGATCTCGAAACCTTTCTCTTCATTCTTGAAGACCGTGATTCATTCCTTCCTTTCTTCATCTTTGTTTTCCTTCTCTACGAAGTATCTACGAAGTCTGAACCGACCAATTGCATTCGTATGTTTTAAAGAGGCCCTGACGCCTGTGCGGCGATGGTCGCTGCCACCTTTGGCTGGTCACCCCTCTCACGCCTTTGATTGACAAAAAGTATCAAAAGGTGCGTCCGCTGTTGGAGGTCATGCAGGGAGGGCCATTTAATCTAGGACGTTGTTTTTGTTTATAGGATTTTTGTTTGTTTTTTGTGGCTTTTGGCTTTCGTGGCTTCTGTGGCTTTTGTGGCTTTTTGGTCTATCCATCTATCTGTCTAAATCTATCTATGTATCTATCTATCTAACTTTCTTTATTTCTTTTTGGCAGCTGTTCTCCTTTCTCTTTTTGCATTTGCTTTTCCTGTTGTTTGCGTTGCAGAGACGAAACCAAACAAGGAAGCAAGCAAGCAAGCAAGCGCGAGCTGCTCACCTTTGGATCTGGTGTGCTGCTGGTGGGGGGGTCGCTGCGCTCCCCCCAACCCCCCCGCGCCACTAAATTTGCACTTCATCTCCGACACCCGCGCCTGCCACGAAATCAATATTTTTTAGGTGAACTCCCCGGCGCAAAACTTTGAAACCAAGCAAACATGCCTCCTGCGCTAGTTCTCTTTCTCTTTGCTGTTTCTCTGCTTTTTCTTTGTTTTTTCTTTCTTTCTTTCTTTCTTACTTTCTTTCTTTCTTTTTCGCAGCTGTTCTCCTTTATCTTTTTCATTTGCTTTCCCTTTTGTTTGCTTTGCAGAGACGAAACCAAACAAGCAAGCAAGCAAGCAAGCAATCCGGCAAGCCAGCAAGCCAGCAAGCCAGCAAGCCAGCGAGCCAGCGAGCCAGCGAGCCAGCGAGCCAGCGAGCGAGCGAGCCAGCGAGCAAGCGAGCAAGCGAGCAAGCGAGCAAGCGAGCAAGCGAGCGAGCGAGCAAGCAAGCAAGCGAGCAAGCAAGCAAGCAAGCAAGCAAGAGCTGCTCACCTTTGGATCTGGTGTGCTGCTGGGGGGGGCGCTGCGCCCTCCCCCAACCCCCCCCGCGCCACGAAATCTGCACTTCATCCCCGACACCCGCGCCTCCCACGAAATCAATATTTTAAGGCGAACTCCCCGGTGCAAAACTTTTTAAGCAAGCAAATATGCATCCTCTATCTATCTATCTATCTATGTATCTATCGATCCACTTATCTTTCTATCTTTCTATCTGTCTATCTGCAGTTCAGCATCCACAACGCACTACACCTGCCACGAAATCTGCACTTCAAGGTCCACAAAGTCTTGCGCCTGCCACGAAATCTGCTGCCACGAAATCTGCACTCCAAAGGCCACAAAGTACTACACCTGCCACGAAATCTGCACTTCAAGGTCCACAAAAAGTCCTGCGCCTGCCACCAACTCTGCACTTCCACATCCACAA